GCAAACTTAATAAATTCCTCTATTTGCGAAGTACCCTAGAGGGTGAAGCAAAGGCAGTTATCGAGCACCTAATTCCTAGTGATGAGGACTACGATACTGCTATTCAGTTACTAGAAGTTAATTACAGCAGTAAAGAAATTGCTATTGCTAATCTTTATTATAAGTTAAGAGCGATACCTTACACCAGATACAACCCCTTAAGCTCTACAAGAATTTAGGCTCCAGGTAGAGTCTCTAATTAAAGCTCTAGGTGTCAAAGCAGATGTACGTAAAGCAGAGTGAGTATTGAAATTAGAAATACAGAGTAAGTTTCCTAAGGAGATTCTAGCATTCATCTGTTCCTATTATAGAACAGATATCCTATCCTTAGATGAAATTTTTGAGGGATTAAGGATAACAGTTAATCGACTGAGAGCTCATGAGAAAATAATACCTGACACTGACAAATCAACCACTGATAAACCAGTCAATTCAAAGGTACCTCCAAACAGCCTAATAAGTCCACCAAACAGCCTAATAAGTCCAAAACCGCTGCTTCCACTCCAAAATGGAAGAATACTACAGTAGGTACCTACACTATCAGCACTTCTAAACCTGTAGCCCATAAGTCACCTAAAGTTTTGACTCCGTTATCTACTACGGGAAGGAGATGCTGTCTCTTTGTCAAGAGAATCATACCATTTATCAGTGTCAAACCTTTCCTGATCGCGTTTCTAGGATAAAGCGCCTCAAGGAATTGCGCAAGTGCATCAGGTGCTTGTTGCAACATGATCCTAATACATGCACCACCCCATTACACATATGTAACAGGTGCCACCAGGATCAACATCATTCCGCATTGTGTGGAGTTGATAGGTCCAAATCGCCTAAACTCCAGGTGGAACAGGATAATTCCACCACTGTGCAGTGCTCTAAGGTGCGACAAGAGGTTAAGGTGCTTAACACCAAGTGTCATAATAATGCCGTATTACCAACTGCACAACTACAATTAAATAACAAGAATTTTTGAATCATTACAAGAGGTTTATTCGACCAGGGATCACAAAGAATGTTCATCACTCAACAAGATGAAACTTAAACTCTTGTGTAATGTGACATTGAACATATCAGGATTCCTAACAGATACCGGACCTCAAGATTTTGAAGGAGTACAGCCACTAGTACGCCTAGGCGGTTATGTCCGACCTGTTAAATCTATAGTAGTTGACCACATTCCTTTTGACCTAAATGTTAAAGGTCTAAGGGACACAGCCAGATGTTTGCAGAAAAATAGAATAACGTCTGACCACCTCACAAATGTTGATATATTAGTAGGGGCAGACTATTGTTATCAGTTCATTACTGGAACTACAAACCAGCAGGAAATGAACTTGTTGAATTCAGCAGGAGGCTACTTACGGGTAGAGCCTTGAACCTGAGGAAGCCTATGCCAGCTGACAACCAACATTAATTCCAGATTGAGTCTGGTACAATTAGTATTAGCATAGTTAGTTTCTATGGATTTCAGTGGATAAATCAGTGACTAGTAGCCTAAACCGGTTCACGTCACAGCGACAAATGTCATTGACCCCCCTGTAGACCCAGAACGACATTAATAATTGACCACATTCAGTCTTCATAGCATCTCATCGCATTTATCATACCTTAGGAAGTCTGCCAGAAAAGACTGCATATGTACTAAGTCGTCTGGACAAGGATTTAGTAATCCATTTAATATGATACACCTGCAGGGTTGTATCAGTTTAGTTTAGGATGCTTCTACTTATTGTTTCTGCCTATAAGCATCTTAGAGACAGTTTGAAGAAGCATCTTAGCACAAGCAAGATTAAACTTTGCAAAAGCCTGTAGGTGAACATTTACCAGAAGACTATTAGTAGTGAAACAAATGTTTCTCATAATAGAATAAACTGATCTCATCCTTTAAGTTATCATGTGCTTAATTATAGCAGCAGAGAGTTACATTACTGTAACTTAATGTATATAAACCGAATAGGTTTACTACTCATTTAGAATCTTTAGGTTGCTATATGAGTTTAGTTATACTGCAGTGTTATAGCACTGTAGCCTAATGTATATAATTCGCATATACCATCTACTTAGGTAGATTAGGGAAACATTAGTTAGGGTCAGCTGAGTGCAAGTTAAATCTGTACTCACTACAGCATACCACTTACTGCATTTATAGAGACTGGTACTCATATACTCAGTTCTCTACTTTATCTAGAATTTAGCTAAGTTAGGAACTTAGTTATTATTATTATTGCATAGCCTAAAATACTTGTTCAGCAAGAAGTGCACCTTAGGATAAATTTAATTTTGCATAAACACATAGAATTTCTGATTTGATGTTGAGGTGTTTTATGAGTTTGCAGTGATCAGTTAGTATCTAGTAACTCATCTAGTTACATGTCACTGTGACCCTAGACATTCATCTCACTGTGGATTCAGTATCTCCTTGATCTCAAAGAGACATATAGAATACTACTTTAATCATTACATAGATGTACCCGTGACAACAGAGTATACTTATAACACAGATCTGGGACATTCGTTATGTAAATACTAACCTACTAACATATACGGATGTAACTTCAGGGAAAGGGAACAGGTACATTAGTACTGAACAATGAACTATGACCCATAATTCCCGCCCCAGAGTTATGTTGGAAATTTTTCAACAATTATTCTCATCCCTAATACAATTGGATGTATTTCCAGTATTAGGCTTCATACTCATTTACTAATCCTTGGTACAATGGGATGTATTTCTTGTACTAAGTGTCATAATTAACTAATACTACTAATCCGTAGTTTAGTATCGCAGAATTCATTGCATTAGGATGTGGAACATCATGTAATTTCTCCTAGAATTATTGCAGCGTTGCATCAGCCACCCACAGAGAATAAATTACCACATATCTGTAAATCTAAAAGAAGTCTAACCATTTACTTTCCTTTATTAAAGATTATTATTTAGTAATAGGTTTACTTTATTTAGTATTCAAAAGTTTACTGGAATTCCTTTACCCAGCTTGATAGCTGTTCCACTAAATAATATCCTAATCTAAAATAATTTCCACCTCCAAAGGATTCTCGTTTTATTTCTGCAGTCTACATTAACTGACTGTGAGAATCAAACATCACCACATAAAGTATTTCATTGTGATATAAACAATATTTATAAACCCTTCCTTCCCTATTTAGCTTTAATGAATAAATATAATTTATTCTCGTGCCCCTACTGGGAGCTATGAGCATGCGCAACTTTCGGGAAGGAAGGGGACTCTCGCCATATTAGATACACTGGCAGCGCGGTGTTCCGAAGCGATCCTTTCACATCTTACAATCAAGCAAGCATCCGTACATCATGGAGCTTCAGATTGAGAATGCAGCTTACCAGAATCACGGACACTAGTTCGGCAGCCATTTTTACCTCTTTTGTTCAATTTAACGAGCTCTTAAATATGTTCATGTAGGTGCCCGGTCGTAACGCTGCAGGTGATAAAATAAACCCCATGTATGTGCTTTTTCCACCCCTCCAAATATTTAGATATTGCATTTATGTGTGAGAATACTAATTTAGAGTAGAAATTATGGAATTTAATTATTGCAGCATGGTGCAACACGACTGAGGAAGCATGTGACTGTCATATACTCACGTGTTCCAAGGTTAACTATCTCAAGCTGTTTCCAAACTGTTGTAGAAATTGGACTACACCTACGTCCCTCTGTCAAGCTGAGATTTAATCAGTTTTCATTGTAGATAGTACCTTTTAAATTATTGAAAGTCAAAGCATTTCTAATCATCGCATATTAATCAGATACATGAATTGAATTTTAATATATCAGTAGTATTTTTTGCATTACATTTTTTTTTCATTATCTATGTGTGTGCATTTTATCATTATTATTATCACTTAATATATGTTGCACATAGATTAATCTCATAGAATATCTCTCCAAAATGTGTCATGGGAAACTGGTTCTGGAAAGTATAGAATATACAGTTCATTACATAATTGCTTAATAGAATAATCGAATATAATTACATATAATTATAGAGATCCATAAGTCGCTGGTTCTCTTATTTCACATCACATTCTGGTCCTTCGAGATATCTTAGATTTAATCTTTATTTGCATTTATAGAATTATACATTTATCAGTATTAACTAGATCCTGATTTCCCCACACGTGTCTTCTAGGTGGTACAACCTAGAGTGCATTTAGGAGGTTATATCTGAATAGTACAGGCTCTTATTGTAGACAAATTCCCATCAGATCTGCATGTTTATGGTCTAGGAAAAACAGCCAAATTCCTGGAAGAAAAGGAAATCAAGTTGGCTGACAAAATCACGTTTGACAACCTCTCCAATATAGGTATCCTTATTGGTTCAGATGTCTACCATAAGTTTATCAAAGGAAAGGATGAAAAACAGGGAATGATCCTGTTAACGTCTGCAAGAGGCTATTTGCTAACAGGCCCAGTATTATGGCTGAAGCAATCCATACCTGTAGACCACCAACAAGCCAACCCAGTGATGGTTGCATGACTAGGAGAACAGTCTCCACTACAATTCATAGACATGTCCGAGGATGAGCATGATCCTCCTGTACATAAATTATGGGATCTGGAAACTCTCGGCATTGTCCCTGAACAACCTAGTCCGGATGATGACTGGACTGACAAAGGGTACCTGGACTCTGTTGTCTACAGAGATAATCAATACTTGGTCAGATTACCATGGAATCTGAATCACCCTCAGCTACCCGTCAACCATTTCATGGCAGAAAACCAATTAAGGTCACAGGCGATGCGCTTACAAAGACATCCTGAGAACTTGAAATTGTACCATGATATAATCAAGCAACAACTCGATAACAAATTTATCGAGAGTTGTAACAAATGATGACCCAAAGAAAGGACACAACCTGCTGCACCACCCAGTACTGAAAAATTCAGCTACTATCCCAATAAGGGTAGTATTTAACTGCAGTGTCATGACTAAGCTACAGACTAAGCAGTATAGTGTTTCATTGAATGACTGCCTTCTAACTGGACCTATCCTGACACATAGCCTGTACGACGTGCTGTTAAAGTTCCGCATCAGGACTTATGCATACATGACCAACATCAGTAAGGCCTTCCTTAGGGTAGGTCTCCAAGAAGAAGACCGTAACTCTCAAAAGTTCCTATGGATCAAGGATGCTAATGATCCAAACAGTGAATTAATTACCTACAGGTTCGCATCAGTTTTGTTTGGTGCTACTTCTCCATTTCTGCTTCAAGCTACCTTGGGCACACACCTGAAGAAATCTAATAGCTTAAATAAAACAGAAACTAGCAACAACCTGTATGTGGACAATTTCCAAGGAACAACCAGCAGTGAAAGTAAACTGATGAATATATATGACGAGGCCAATCGAGAATTATTAGGAGCAAATATGCCTCTCCAGTCGTGGGTTTCCAACAATGCCAAATTAAATCAACTGATCAAAACAGAATTTCTCGACTACAAGGCACATCAGAAGACAAAGGTTCTAGATGTCGAATGGGTTACAGCTGCAGATCAGTTAACAATCAAGTCAGTTGAACCAGATACCACAAACCTAACAATGAGAAAGCTACTATCCCAAGTCAGCAAACACTTTGACCCTTTAGGATTATTAAGTCCAATCTTAATAAATGGAAAGTTGATAATGCAGGAATGCTGGTAACAGAAGATAGGCTGGGATGATCTTCTAACACCTGCCTTACAATAAAAGTGGCAGGGGGCTAGTGAAACATTTAAGTATCCTATAGTCTATCAAGTTCCCTCAAGTTCGAAACACAGTTAATGAAAAACAACCAATTAAGCTCCATGTATTCTGTGATGCCTCACAAAAGGCTTATGGCACAATAGCTAACCTGGTATCAAATGGGCAAGCCAATTTGCTCACCTCAAGGGCAAGAGTGGCACCATTAAAGAAACGATCATTCCCTCAACTGGAGTTAACAGCTCTATGTTATGAGTAAGATTGGCTCATTATCTGATCAAGGCCATAAGCAACATCTACACTGAAGAAACAGTGGTATGGTCAGATAACGAGGCAGTACTACAGTGAGTGAAAAACAATATCAGTAAAAATCTTTACGTGAGTAACCGCCTTAAGGAAATACGAGATTTATCAGCAGGGTGTGGGAACCGACCTGTGAGATTTATATTTATTTAATTTATATGAATATATAATTTATATATTTACGTTAATTTATATACTTCGATAATAATTTGTATGATGTTAAGTGGACTGTATTTCTGCAATAATCTCACAAATCGATCCTCTACACATTAGGGGGGTTTATTAAATTTATATATATATGCAGCCAATCAAACAACAGTATTAGACTACATACATTGAAGAGGTTCCTTATCTTATTGTACAGCAGGCCTTAGTCCACCAGGTATAACCAGGATGTAGACACCACATTTTCCTCCTGTGAGGTAGCTTCCAACACCCTGGTAACTGATGCACAAAGCATGCTTCCTCGTCTTGACCTGTCAAAAGGGCGCTAGCTATAAAGCCAGAATCCTAATATATGACAGCTATATCAGAGAAAACACTGTACATGGAACTATATAGACCTGGGCTAATTACCTTTAGTATGAGGCGATCTCATGCTCTAAACAGTCACCCTATCAAATGACATTAATGGCCACTAATGATAGATAAATGGGTTTCGGTAGAACACTTAACTTGAATTTGTTGACAGCGTGTTGATGATGGTACACCTTTGGTTTCCATAACACTTCGTCCAAGTAAAATTAACAGGAGCCGAATTGCTCCCATGCCTCTGGTCTCAGTATAAACAATGTCTAACACTCCGTACTACTGACGCTACTGGCCGACATTGTCCAGATATAATAGGAGCCGAATTTGCTCCATGCGTCTCGGAGGTGACAACAACAATGGCTGACCACTCCCTCCTCCCTGACGCCTAGCTTACATTGTCCAGATGACAGTAAGTGATAGAAGGGTCACATTTACTCTATTTTAATTCTGATAATTAAGTTAATTTATATGAGAATTTTTTTATGATAGTAAAGTCCAAAGACTAATGTATTTAAGAATAATTCCCACCATAATAGGTGGTGAATTTATAACAGTATGTGGAATGATGTCTCGTTTTCTATAGACGGAAATTCCACTACAATTACATTTTCTATGGGTACCCTACAAAAGAAGCTACTACTTATGGCAGCTACTGGAAGGTAGTTGTGCTTTCTGGGTTCGAGTCCCACTGGTGGGTGTTGTCCAAAGATTGTTAATCTTCACTTGTGGTTTATGCAAGTATAGGCTTATAGCATGGACACGAGTTCTCTCACATTGACAGTGGCTTGATGAAAAACGCAGACTAACCTCACACTTGTCTAGTGCCCTCGGGAAGTGGAGATATTTGAGATGTATATATATCTCGAAGTCTCTACTTCTTTTGTAGGGTCTGATGGTGTAGTGGGTTAAAGCGTACTAGTTATGGCAGCTACTGGAAGGTGGTTGTGCTTTCTGGGTTCGAGTCCCACTGGTGGGTGTTGTCCAAAGATTGTTAATCTTCACTTGTGGTTTATGCAAGTATAGGCTTATAGCATGGATACGAGTTCTCTCACATTGACAGTGGCTTGATGAAAAACGCAGACTAACCTCACACTTGTCTAGTGCCCTCGGGAAGTGGAGATATTTGAGATGTATATATATCTCGAAGTCTCTACTTCTTTTGTAGGGTCTGATGGTGTAGTGTGTTAAAGCGTACTAGTTATGGCAGCTACTGGAAGGTAGTTGTGCTTTCTGGGTTCGAGTCCCACTGGTGGGTGTTGTCGAAAGATTGTTAATCTTCACTTGTGGTTTATGCAAGTATAGGCTTATAGCATGGACACGAGTTCTCTCACATTGACAGTGGCTTGATGAAAAACGCAGACTAACCTCACACTTGTCTAGTGCCCTCAGGAAGTGGAGATATTTGAGATGTATATATATCTCGAAGTCTCTACTTCTTTTGAAGGGTCTGATGGTGTAGTGGGTTAAAGCGTACTAGTTATGGAAGCTACTGGAAAGTAGTTGTGCTTTCTGGGTTCGAGTCCCACTGGTGGGTGTTGTCCAAAGATTGTTAATCTTCACTTGTGGTTTATGCAAGTATAGGCATATATATCATATATATATATATATATATATATATATATATATATATATATATATATATATATATATATATATATATATATATATATATATATATATATATATATGTCGTACCTAGTAGCCAGAACTCACTTCTCAGCCTACTATGCAATGCCCGATTTGCCTAATAAGCCAAGCTACCTTTTCATGAATTAATGTTTTTTCGTCTACCTAACCAACCTAACCTAGCTTTTTTTTGGCTACCATATATATATATATATATATATATATATATATATATATATATATATATATATATATATATATATATATATATATATATATATATATATATGCAAACAAGCTTGAATGGTCCCCACTTCCCCGCCGGCACTCGGATGGTTATCTTGGGCATAGCATTTTATCAAATCACCTCGCTCACCCTGAAGTGGTTCAAATAGCTTCGGCTATCACTTCCTTATGTCCGGTCGTGATGGTCAAGCGGATTAAGGCGTCCTGTAGATACCAGTTGCGTTGCTCCTGGGAGTATGGGTTCGAGTCACTTTTGGGGTGAGAGTTTTCAGTCGCATATAGTCCTGGGGACCATTCAGGCTTGTTTGTATTTGTTTTCCTCATGTGTGCCCTAAAGAACGAGGTGATTTGATAAAATGCTATGCCCAAGATAACCATCCGAGTGCCGTTGGGGAAGTGGTTCAAATAGCTTCGGCTATCACTTCCTTATGTCCGGTCGTGATGGTCAAGCGGATTAAGGCATCCTGAAGATACCAGTTGCGTTGCTCCTTGGAGTACGGGTTCAAGTCACTTCTGGGGTGTGAGTTTTCAGTCATATATATATATATATATATATATATATATATATATATATATATGTCGTACCTAATAGCCAGAACGCACTTCTCAGCCTACTATTCAAGGCCCGATTTGCCTAATAAGCCAAGTTTTCATGAATTAATGTTTTTTCGTCTACCTAACCTACCTAACCTAACCTAACCTAGCTTTTTTTGGCTACCTAACCTAACCTTACCTATAAATATAGGTTAGGTTAGGTTAGGTAGGGTTGGTTAGGTTCGGTCATATATCTACGTTAATTTTAACTCCAATAAAAAAAAATTGACCTCATACATAGAGAAAAAGGTTGCTTTATCATTTCATAAGAAAAAAATTATAGTAAATATAATAATTCAGGAAAACTTGGCTTATTAGGCAAATCGGGCCTTGAATAGTAGGCTGAAAAGTGAGTTCTGGCTACTAGGTACGACATATATATATATATATATATATATATATATATATATATATATATATATATATATATATATATATATATATATATATATATATATATATATATATATATATATATATATATATATATATATATAAGTTTGTGAGGGTACCACCTCTGGTGCCAATGTGGGGACCCATACCTCGGAGAAGAAAATAAAAAGTATTCAGAGGAGACCTTGTGGTTTCTCACTGAACACTAATATTATCTTCTCCTACCACCCCCATTCTTTTGTATGTACACATATATATTTACTTTATTTGAACTTTGTTACAAAAAAGGAGTTACATATGGGTTACAAAGATGGTTATCATAGGTTGTCGAGTTCCTCCAGCTCCTCAGATGGCGGGCAGGAACCCTGGATGCAGTGCGCATTTCCCATCTGTATCACCACACTGAGGCGCTGGAAAAGAAAGCTTGCAGCTCTTGGGTCCCTTGTTGTTTCAATGAGCCTAGAACCCAGTTCCTTCAAAAAACTGGTAGCACTTTTACCCCAGGCACCGAGTGTCTCAGAAGCAATGGGGACAAAATTGTAGTGGTGATCCAGTTCTCTATACTTACGGGATTTGGCTGCTTCCCTGTGGGTGGCAGCGCCACCTGGTTGTGCAACACTGAGGTTAATGTAGGTGTTAGCCAGGGTTGATACGCACGTGTAGTCCCATACCAACTGCTTGCCATTCTTCCAGGGGTTCACTGTGATACCATCCGGGCGACCAATAAGAGCATCAGAGTTACGGGGCGTTAGGTAACGGGGCTCTCTTTCAGCTGGGCATCCAGCTGTGGTGAGGCTCCTCTTGATGATGTCGTTAACTTCACTGTGCCTCGAGTGCCATCCCCCTGTGCTTTGGCAGAGTAGGCCATGGTGGCCGTACCTGTCAGCCACCACCTCGCCGCAAATACACCTATATCTGGTGTGGATTGGGGCAGCAAGGCGG